TTTCAACACATTTCTAAACATAATAGTTTTAATAACTCATTTCTGATAACTGATTTTTTTTTAATCTTTGCTATGATGACAGTAAAAAATATTTTACTAGATCTATATTTTCCAAGACACTTTTATACAGCTTAAAGTGACATTTAAAGGCAAGGTGAAATAGGTTAAACAGGCAGGTTAGGGTAATTAGTTATGGTATAATGATAGTTTGTTCTGTAGACTATCAAAACAAATTCAGCTGAAAGGGGCTAATAATTATAATAATTTTGTTAATAATAACAAAAATGAAAACTGCTTTTATTCTAGCCAAAATAAAACAAATAAGAATATAAATATATATATATATATATATATATATATATATATATATATATATATATATATATATATATATATATAAATATATAAATATATATCAGACATACTGTGAAAATGTCCTTGCTGTTAAACATCATTTGGGAAATAAAATAAATAAATAAATAAATTAGGGATGCTTAAAAACTTCAACTGTATATAGTTTATAGGTATGATTTACACTTCTAGAAATTTATTTGGGGCCCTCAGGTGTCCTGGGGCCGTAAGTGGCCACTTACCTTGCTTATTGGTTAAATCAGCCCCTGACCTCAAGGTACATATTAGTACCCAAATGCACCTAAAATATAAAGTCAAAATTATTCGAATTATCAGAATTATTATTATTATTTTTCCAATTTCTGTTTAACGGAGACAAAAAAAAAAAAAATTCAACACCTTTCTAAACATAACAGTTTCAATAACCCATTTCTAATAACTGATTTTTCTTATCTTTGATGACATTTTTGATCCATGATGACAGAAGATAATATTTTAATAGATATTTAAAGACATAACTGGGTTAATTAGGCAAGTAAGGGTAATTAGGCAAGTCATTGTATAATGATGGTTTGTTCTGAAAAAAAGACAATTGCTTAAAGAGGCTGATAATATTGACCTTAATATGGCTTTTAAAAATTTAAAAACTTTCAACCAAAATAAATCAAATAAGATTTTCTACAGAAAAAAAAAAAAAAAAAGTATAGGAGTTACTTTGAAAATTTCCTTGCTCTGTTAATCATCATTTAGGAAATAATTGAATCAGGAAAAAGAAAAAAAAACTATCAGATACAATAATTTTGAGTTTAACTGTATATAATCAGGGCGAGGCAGTGGCGCAGTAGGTAGTGCTGTTGCCTCACAGCAAGAAGGACACTAGTTCGAACCTCGGCTCAGCTGGCGTTTCTGTGTGGAGTTTGCATGTTCTCCCTGCCTTTGCGAGGGTTTCCTCCGGGTGCTCCGGTTTCCCCCACAGTCCAAAGACATGCAGTACAGGTGAATTGGGTAGGCTAAATTGTCTGTAGTGTATGAGTGTGTGTGTGGATGTTTCCCAAAGTTGGGTTACGGCTGGATAAGTTGGCGGTTCATTCCGCTGTGGCGACCCCGGATTAATAAAGGGACTAAGCCGACAAGAAAATGAATGAATGTATATAATCACAAACAGTTTTGGGGTTAACGCATTACAAGTTATATAATAATATGACTTTTAACACATCACTTTAAAAAAATAAGTAATAATATTTAAATTACTTTTTTTTAAATGTAATGCGAGTTACTTTTTAGTTTAGATAATTAACTTTTAAATTATTTAAAATTAACCTTGAATCCCACACACAATGAGAGAATGCAGAAATAGACTGAAGTGAAGACGGCAGAAACCTTACAATTTTGCAATATAAATATTCTCATTATTTTGAAAACATGGAAGAAAAGGTAAAGAGGATTATCTGAATGGTCAACGATTTTACTTTTTAATAAGACAAAATTACAAAAGTACAAAAGCCCCCTGCAGGTTTTTGAAAGAGATGAATGCAAAAGTAACGTAATGCATTACTTACCATAAAAAAGTAACTAAGTAACACAACAAGTTTGTGAGGAATTTGTTTTATAAGCCACACTTTTCTTGTGTGTTTGATGGTCTCACCTCATCTAATGTACAAATTGCCCATGCAAAATTAGAAAGGACAAAACAGCACAAGTATGTTACCAGATGCACTCTGTTACTGCAGGCGGAAGAAAAAGAGTCTAAAACAGAATCAGTCTGTTCTCCATTATTCTGTTCATGCTTAATGATTCTTGGAGGTAGTCTTAAATGAATAGTTCAAATCAGATTGTGCATTAGCTATTCATTTTCTCACCCTCTGGTCATCCAAGGTGACTTTTTTTCTTGTAATGTAATGTGTATTTATATAGTCCATGTATTGTGTATGGTCATACACCCAAAGCGCTTCACAATCACGAGAGGGGTCTCTCCACACCACCACCAGTGTGTACCATCCACTAAAGATGCGATTCTTCATTGTATTGTACAACACTATGAAAAATTTTTAGCTGAAACTTGGATTCTTGGAGACAATGAATACCAGCATTTTAATAGAAAAAAAGTCACATAGGTGAAGTAAAATATTTGGTGGGCTGTGCATGACAACTTTTAATATATTGCATATGCATGTCATTCTGCTTCATTACACCTTAGTTTATCATCCGGTTAGGGTTATTTTGTATTTTATTATTTAATTTTTTTACTTTGGTAATACTATGGAAGAATTTTAGGTTAAATTGGTTTTTGTAGATTTTTTTTAAATGTAAGACAATGGCTACCAGCACTTTAAGAGATAAAAAGAGACCTTTTGAAGCTAAACATGTGGTCTATGTCATTTTGCTTAGACCTCAGTATATCATATATCATTTTTTATACTCAAACTGGTAGCTGTTGACTTGCATTTTATGAATCAGCAAGAATCCTCAAAGTTTAACTGAAAATGTACTTTGATGTTCTACTGAAGAAATAATTCACCAACATCATGGAATCAGAAATGGAAACCTGAATCAGTAAATTAACAGCATTTTTTTTTCATTATTTCGGGTGAACTATCTCATTAAGAGTGTCACACTTTTACTGACCTCTATTAGCATAATTAAATAATTATTCACACCCCCCACTCATCCAAATAAATAAATAAATAAATATACAACTTTTACTCGCCCTCAAGTGATTAGGAGTTTCCTTTTTTTCTATTGACCAGAAAAGAAGATATTTTGAAAAATATTGGAAACCTGAAACCATTTACTTCCATTCATTTATTTTATTTCGGCTTAGTACCTTTATTAATCTGAGGTCTCCACAGCAGAATGAACCGCCAACTTATCCAGCATATGTTTTATGCAGCAGATGTCCTTTCAGGTGCAACCCATCACTGGGAAACATCCATACACACTCTTTCACACACACACTACGGACTATTTAGCTTACCCAATTGTTTTTTGGACTTGTGGGAGAAACTGGAGCACCAGGAGGAAACCCATGCCAACATGGAGAGAACATACAAACTCCACACAGAAATGCCAACTGTCCGAGCTGGGGCTCGAAACAGCTACCCGCTGCGCCACCGAGCTCCATTTACTTCCATAATATGAAAAACAAATGCTACTGTATGGAAGTCAGTGGTTATAGGTTTCCAACATTTTTCAAAATAACTTACTCTGCCTTCAATATTAATAGAAACTCAATCAGGTTTGTGACAAGTGAAAGAGTTCAGTGTTGGGTGAACGATACCTTTAAGAAAAAATAATAATAATGTGTGTTTCTCTATACCAGTGTTTCCCAACCCTGTTTCTGAAGGCACACAGACAGTATAGATTTTCAACCTCTCCCTTATCTAACACATCTGAAGCAACTCATCAGAACATACCCAGCAAACAATTTTGTGTTCATTAGAAGTCAAATAGACATCTAAACGTAGTGATCTTGGCTAAAACAAGGTTAAACTTGGGCTGTCAGTGAAAATCTAACAGACGTCTAAGAATAGGCCAAAACTAAACTAGTCATCAAATACAGAAATAAGACAGACTTTATGTGGGTAGTCATTCATGTCTGTTTATTTAATGACTAGGCTAGTTTTGGCCTATTCTTAGATGTCTATTAGATGTTCACTGACAGTCCAAATTTAGCCTTGTTTTAGCCAAAACGACTATGTTCAGACGTCTATTTGACATCTTTTAAAAACAACAAATGCTTGCTGGGTAAGAAGAGGCTCCAAAACCTGAAATGAATGCGTCAGATATGACTCATTGATTTATGATAAAGACATTTAGCAGGTTGATTCATATAAATATTTAGGAGTAAATATTGATTGTAAACTCAATTGGCACTTTCAGGTGTCAAGTCTGTGCAAGAATTCATCAGCGATTACTCTTTTTACGTAGACTAAGATTATTCAGAGTGAGTAGCAGCATAATGCTGACTTTTTATAAAGCAACACTAGAGTTTATTTTAAGATATGGGATTATTGTTTGGTTTGGGAATCTGACAGTAAAAATGAAAACCCAAGTATATAACCTGATGAGATTGGCAGGCAAAATCATGAAAATTAAGACACTTGGTTTGCTAAAAGATATGTTTGAGTTGTGCACAATCCAACAAGATTTTATGAGATTCTTCACATGTGCTGTCTCTGGAGTATAAGCTGATGAATTCTGGCAGAAGATACAGGATCCCGTTGTGCAAGTACAATAGATATAAACATTCTTTTGTTCCTTTTTCAATTAAATTGATCAATGAGCAAGTAAGGAAGGACACTCAAAGATTAAGATGACGGGATTGGTTGGCACAACAGAGGTCAGTGGGGGCACATTGTATTTTAGTTTTATTTATTTTGGACTAATTTTATGGAATCATATTTATATTAGGAGGTATCTTAGGATTTGATTTTAATGTGTCTGCATGTTACATGTTGTCTTGTTGGTGTCAATGTACAACAAAACCTTTTTTCTAAACCAAATTTCTCCTACGGGAAACAATACATTTTACCTTGACCTTGATATAATGGAGATATCTCAAATATGTGCCATTAGTGTGCCTCTAGGAACATGATTGGGAAAAACAGCTCTACATAACACACGTATTCAAGCTTGTATTCTTGTGCAGAGGATGTCCAGAGCTGACTGGGGGTTTCTGGAGCACCTGCTAGAGGAAGGCCAGGAGTACTCGACGGGCGTAGGACGCGTGTGGCTGACCGTCCTCTTCCTCTTCCGCATGCTTGTGCTTGGCACGGCTGTGGAATCTGCATGGGACGACGAGCAGTCTGACTTCGTCTGCAACACCAAACAGCCCGGCTGTGAGTCCGTCTGCTATGACAAGGCCTTCCCCATATCCCACTTCCGTTACTTTGTCCTTCAGGTCATCTTCGTCTCAACTCCGACCATTTTCTACTTCGGCTACGTGGCCTTGAGGGCTAGAAATGAGAAGAGGCCAGAGGAAAAGCTGGAGGAAGATGGCAGAAGGCATAGACATCGAAAGACCAACGCCTGTATATTAGAAGTAATAAAAGAGGAAGACGAAGATGGGAGTGAAACTGAAAAGAACCGCAAAGCGCTGGAACCTCCAAAGCTTAAAGGGAAACTGCTGTGCGCTTACGCGGCGAGCATAATAGTGAAAGTTCTCATCGAAGTTGGCTTCATCCTGGGTTTATGGATACTTTATGGGTTTGTGATCGAGGCCAAGTACGTGTGTGAGAGGCTTCCCTGTCCTCACACGGTTGACTGTTTCGTCTCACGACCAACAGAAAAAAACATCTTCACCATATACACACAAGTCATCGCCGTAGTGTCGATTCTCCTCAACGTTGTGGAGCTTTTCCATCTGCTTCAGTTGGTGATAACACGTCGACTAGAGAAGAAATATCAGGCAGAGGTGCAGATTCATAATAGAGTTAGAACAGCACCATCTAAAGCTCAACAACCATCATTTGAGGAAAGGAACCATCTCTTTCTTCCTGTAGCACATGGTGGATACCCTACCGAAGGGTTGGATTGGGAAAAAAGAGACCCTTCCTTGGCAGAAGACATGCTTCCAAGCTACTCAAACTGCATTAGGAATATGAAGCCTGCAATAAACAAAAACAATCTTCCTAAAAAGCACCTCAAGGCTGATGACAAACCGAGACATTATGTTTGAGAAGCAGAGCATCAATGTGTAAATGACCTTTAGTGGTTTACTGTGCATTCGAGAGCCATTTCCTTTGTTTAGATAGGCAGGGAAATGGGATGAACTGTCTTTTGCGATCTGTTGCCAGATTTGGGAGCCTCTCAAGTAGTGATTAGTTCGGAGAGGCTCAGGGTCAGGAAATACTCAAAGCACTGAGCCTGACTGTGTCTACAAACAAGCACAATGTCTAAAAATGGCAAAGGAGAAGGGTGGGTTTAAGTCAACTGAATGACTGATATGGTACAGATAAGGTAGTACGTAATGTACTGTATTCGAAACCAAAACCTTACTATACTAACTGTATGTACAGTATTTAAAAGGTATTTAAGAATTATTTTTATATTATATTTCATTTCATATTTATTTTCATTGCTTTCATTAAAACATTTTATCTAACGTTTGTTGGAGAGGTTGATTTTTACACATGCAATGCCAAAATTAGCATTACCAGCTGTTTTCTGTGACAAAACTACAATATTAAATTGTATCTGTGGGTAGTTTTTTACAAGGATACACTAAAAAGCTTTATTTCCCAATGAGCGAAGTATATATAAAACTGCATCATAGAATGGCACTGTTTCATCTTGATATTAACATGTTTTCAGTGATCAATTCACAATCCAAATTTTCAAATGATATTGTGTCTCTTGGGGCCACTTGTTTTTTGATTTCATCAAGACCATTACCTAATTTTGTATTGCACTACTTTGTTTTAGTGTTATTTCTTACAACACCTTCCAGAACAATCTTTTTTCAGTACCACGGTCTCAAAGCATTCGAAAATGCAACATTTTAGACCCCATTACTCGTGCTTTTACCGTTTGTTTTATCTTGATACATAATGCATTGCATAGACTACCAAATACAATTACAAACAGCACAACTACTTCTGCAATACATTAAAAATATTTTAAAATTGGTGATAATAATATGAAGAAATGTGGAATCTGCTTCATTACCTCACCCTGTTGTTATGTGTTGGTCGTTTCAAACTATTTCAAAACTTTTTAGACGAGACAGCCTTCCGGTATCATCAAGGCCTTCAATTTCCTGTTATGCCGTGAGTCCAGCACATTCGACAGCAGTAATTTTAGCAATTCTGAGCCGTCTCAACAATGATAAGCACTTATCTGTAGCAGGAAAAAGGCAACGATGGGTAATTTACAAGGTGGGACAGTTTGTTATGGAAGGGGTCAAATCTAAACAATGCATTGAGAAGAACGAGAAAAGAAAAATCTCTGCTTTTTCCACTCAAAAGGTATGTTTTGCTGGCTAATGGAAATGGTGTTTTATTAGAGGGTGTTATCTGCGCTGTTGGACTCCAGTCTATGAAAGATTAATGAGTCTTGTGCTTGTGGGGTTGCCAACCATAACCTGTAGTCTTTGCCCAGTGCATAGTTTTCTCTATCACAGCTGGCCCTCGTGAACGATTCGACTGTCATCTCTCGCCAATACAAGGTTTCAGAGGTGCTTCACAAGATGTGTAGGTCAACAAACAGCTGGTGAGGACTGACCTCTTTAGTTCCCCTCAGTTGCCAAACAAAGAGAAAGACAGCGAGCGAGAGAGACTGCCTGGTACAATATCAAACTCCAATCTGGGTGGGAAAAAAGAAAGGAAAATAATGAAAGCTCTTGTTCTGGAGTGTTTCCTTTTGTTTTTGTTCAACGTACCACCTACAAATGCTGACTCGTGGCATTGCCAGCTGTGCTTTATTATGGCCACACATGCATCAGATTTACAGAGGGTAAAATAAGCATTGTAAACGTCACAATTTTTCTCAGAAAACATATTTCTAAAGGGGCTGTTGACTCAAAATTTCCATTGGATGTCAGTAACAACCAAAGTATTCCATATATACAAAGAAAACTAAACAAATTAGATTAGAAATTGATTTTTTTGTATTTAAATTAAATGACACAGAAAAAGGTATTGAACACATGAAGAAAGGGAGGTTTCAAAATACATGGAAAGCCCAGACAGCAGCTGGAATGTCGCTGTTTTTAGAAAACAACCCTGCTGCTCAACGCTGTAAATGAGTATTAGTTGCTTCATTCCCAATACCTACATTACCAGATGAAACCAGGGTGGACATTTAAGCAAGATAAAAATCCCAAACACAGGCAAGGAAACTTTCACCTGCTTTCAGAAAAGAAAATAAAGCTGCTAGAATGGCCTAGCCAATGACCTGATCTGAATCCAATAGAGAATAAAAACTAGAGATCAGAGTTGACAGAGGAGAACAACAAAACTATCAAGATTTGTAAACTTTGTTGAAGTTTTTTGGTGAAAAAATTTCACCTAAACAATGCATATGACTGTATAATCTATACAAGAGGGGTCTTGAAGCAATAAAAACCTCCCAAAAAAGACATTGATACAACATATTAAATACATTTCAGTAGTTTAGTACCTTCTTACTGTGTCCTTTAATTGTTATTACACATACATTTTTAGACGTATATAGGAATTATTTGGGTTTAATCAAAATCTGGGTCTATTTCTTATTTAACAGCTCCTCTAGAAAAATAAATAGCATGAAAATCATGCCACGTTCAACACTTCTTTAACCCTCAGTGCCAGGACACCTGAACAGATGTCTGTCATTTTAGATAAAACCTAAAAAGTCATCGATGCCAACTATATGCTCATGCTGTTTGGAGGTTACTTTCGCTGAATACAGACACAAAGGTCATTCTATTTGTGAAACCCAGCAGGGACAGCGCCTGCCCATTTGCCCTTAGGTGATTTGCTCAGAGTATAGCACCAATGAAAATGAGCTGCCACTTTTTGCAGGTCGCTTCCCGCATCCTGATCTTGTCGCTCAAACAGCTGATGCATTTCCCTTTCCACACTTATCCACAACACACTCTTACAAAGAGGGTTTAAAGCCCTCGTATGAACTGTACTGAACGTACCTTAGAAGAAGCTGCCGTCTGTGCTGGGACTGGGCTGTGTGTGGGTGTTTTCTGGATGAGAGGTGGCTTCGAGTGGCCAGTCAACCTGCTTCCCATTGGGACTTAAGACTGAGTGCCAAACTTCTTTCGGCAGGGGGTCTGAAGGCCGCAGTGTCAGGCAGATTTGCCAGGGCATGTGGTGCAAAATAGTCACATGCACTTCCTGCCAGCTGAAATGATTAAAAAGCATGTCTTCGCAGGAATAGCCATAACAAGAAGTCAAGAAAAACCCACAGAAGGATTACAAAGGCTTAAAAATAACAAGAATGGTCAGCCAGTGCATTGTTGTTGAACATTTGTGAGCTTGCTTTTTTGTAGGATGTTTAGTAGTTATATTATGCTCTTAATATACAGTTGAAGTCAGAATTATTAGCCCCCTTTGAATATTTTTTCTATTTTTAATATTTCCCAAATGATGTTTAACAGAGCAAAGAAATTTTCACAGTATGTCTGATAATATATATTTTTTTGTCGTATTGTCTTATTTATATGTCTTATTTATTTTATTTTGGCTAGAATAAAAGCTAGTTAAAAAAAATTTTAATACCATTTTAAGGACAAAATTATTAGTCCCTTTGAGCTATATTTGTTTTTGATAGTCTACAGAACAAACTATCATTATACAATAACTTGCCTAAATATCCTAACATGTCTAGTTAACCTGATTAACATAGTTAAGCCTTAAAATGTTACTTTAAGCTGTATAGAAGTGTCTTGGTTGAATAAGATCTAGTAAAATATTATTTACTGTCATCATGACAAAGATAAAGTTAGTGCTGTTGCCTCACAGAAAGAAGCTCGCTGGTTCGAACCTCGGCTCAGTTGGCGTTTCTGTGTGGAGTTTGCATGTTCTCCCTGCGTTCGCGTGGGTTTCCTCCGGGTGCTCCGGTTTCCCCCACAGTCCAAAGACATGCGGTACAGGTGAATTGGGTAGGCTAAATTGTCCGTAGTGTATGAGTGTGTGTGTGTGGATGTTTCCCAGAGATGGGTTGCGGCTGGAAGGGCATCAGCTGCGAAAAAACTTGCTGGATGAGTTGGCGGTTCATTCCGCTGTGGTGACCCCGGATTTATAAAGGGACTAAGCCGACAAGAAAATGAATGAATGAATGCCTACTTTCATGTTCTTCCAAAGCTGTATTTAATTTTTATCATAATTAGTATTACTATTATTAAGTGGATTATTTTAACAGTATTAGGATATGACAATAATGTGATCATAATCATGAAAAATTAAAGATATACTTTAACCCAAAAATGAAAATTGTCATCCCATTTGGCTTGCTCTAAACTAGTTTGAGTATAAAATATAACAGAAGAACAGATATTGTTAAAGATAATGGAAGTCAATGTTTTTAGCATTTTTAAAAATATACATTACATTGATAACAATTTTATTTTTGGGGGAAACTATCACTTTCAGCCTTTGGTTTACAGAACAAGTTTACAGAGCTGTCAGCTGGCCAAACAAACTCATAGTTAACTAGATCCTTAACTTAGACAACCTGAAGGAAACAGGCTTATCTGCTTCCTGATTTTCCATTGGTCACTCCAGGCATTGAATACAACAAGGCTTGTTCCACTTTTACAATGGAGCAGCGGTGGGCATTGTTACATTGTTTGGGTGAAATCCCACCTGCAGTGGTTTCAGGACATCAGGAGCAGCTGTGAATTACACACAAACCCAATACTACGTTCTGTTAGCCCGTTTTTCTGTACAGGGAACAGAGTTTTACCCCAGAAAAACGGCAAAGTGTTTATGAGCAGTTTTTAAGTCTAAAATTTAAATTTCTTTGGCCCAGCACTGGCCCACACAGTCAGCTTTTGCTTGGCCCACATGCTGCAGTGAATTACGGTACGTGAGTGGACCAAGTCTGGCTTCCAGACAAGGGCCAAACATGGACTACATCTGGGCCAAGTCAATAACCCATAACTAGGCCCACACGAAATCTGCGCGCGCAGAATTCCACAGATTTTCAGGCCATCATTGATTCTGTTTATTTACTTTGTTTAAATTT